TTTTTTTTTTTTTTTCTCAACGTTTATTTATTTTTGGGACGGAGAGAGACAGAGCATGAACGGGGGAGGGGCAGAGAGAGAGGGAGACACAGAATCGGAAACAGGCTCCAGGCTCCGAGCCATCAGCCCAGAGCCTGACGCAGGGCTCGAACTCACGGACCGCGAGATCGTGACCTGGCTGAAGTCGGACGCTGAACCGACTGCGCCACCCAGGCGCCCCTGAACCTTCATTTCAAACCTCTGTTGACATGCAAGTGTTACCGCCATTTGGTGATTTATATTGGGACAGATTTTTTTTTTTCCTTAGTGTTTTTCCTGTTTGTACTTTGAAATGAAGCTGACCATCTGACAGGACCCTTGGCTATTTTTGGACTCCATTTGTCAAAAACTTGTTTTTTAAAACTTGAAACAGCTTCATTTTCATGTATTTATAAGAGAGGAATATCATCTAGTGTTTGAATGTAGGAGTGATGGGTGGAGTAATGGATAATCTCTGCTTTATCCTGCATAGTCTGATCTAAAACTGAGTGAGTGCCCTTGACTGTGTTATTAGCCTTCTTCATAAGGTTACTGGTTTGATTACTGTCAAGGAGGGCTCTATAATCTAGGCCTCTTCCTTCTGTCTTGGCTTATGACCTTTCTGTTCCCTCCTATACTTGTATCCCTGCTGAATACTGATCACAGCTTCCTCAAAAGGAGGCATTGCTCTAGGACCCTGCTCATTCTCCGTGTTTCACATTTTTAAGTCAAATAATCCACAAGTCAAATAATGTTAGCACCATTTGAGGCAAAGCCAAAAGTACAGCTGTTGGTGTTATTTGTTTAATGGAATCCTGGCTCAGCAAGAAATTTTTCTTAGATTTGATGCTAGGGTTTTACCTCTTTAAAAGACAGTTATGAAAAATTTTGGTGTAATCCCTCTTCAGACTGAGTTCTTGACATTGTCAGACTTTTTGGCTGTATGGCTGACCAGTGACCTCACTGTGGGGTTCAGATTTCGGTCAGGTGAGTCTCTGCAGTCCCTTGCCCAGAGTGCTATCCTCTAGTTCATTCTGACTGGCAGTAATGGGATGTTTCTCTGACTGGAGGAAGTCTCTAAAGAGTTGGTAACATCAGATCCCACAAAGGGGAATTGTTTGTTTTTCCACACTAAACCTTTAAAATAAAAAAGAAGTGTATATTAAATAGCTTCTGGGCTAAAAGTTTCCATTTTGAGCCATTTGAGATACATTGATAGAGTGATTCAGTGTTTGTAATTGGCTTGCAGCGGAGAATTAAATCAGTAGATTTAGTCTTTCCTGGATAGGAAAGCTTCCTAGATTTGGGCTTTTATCTTGGGTTGGCTTTTTACCAGTTATGATCTTGGGCACGTTACTTAACTTCTCTGTGTATCAGTTTCCTCTTCTAGATCATAAGGTTATGTGAGGATTAAATGAGTTACTTTGCGTACAGTGATTAGAACAGTGGCTGGCATATAGGAAGCGTTCAACCAGTGTAGCTTTTATATCCAGATTCTGACCACTTCCAGCCTTCCCTTCTGGTTCAAGTTGTCATCCCCTTCTGCATTATCATGGTAGCTGCCTGAGTCGTTTTTCTGTTACCCCACTTGTCCCCTTTACAGTTTATTTTCAGCATCTCAGCCAAGGTGATTTTGGTCCTCTGCAAAGTTAGATGAAGTCACTCTGCTCAAATGCTTTGGTGGCTTTCCATTGAACCCTCTCTACAAGGTCATACACAAATCCTGTTCTACTTCCCACCCTTCCTGCTCCCCCAACCCCCACCTCTGTACTTCTCCGATTTCCTTTTATGTTCTCATCCCTGTTCTCTGAGCTCCAGCCATACTGACTTCTTTTTATTACTTGAACATGCCAGACGTTTGCGTTTGTTATTTACTTTCCTAGAATTCTCTTCTCATATATTTACATAGATTACTCATTCATCTTCTTCAAATCTTGGCTCAAAATCATAATTTCAATGAGCCTGCCTTGATCACTGTAATTAAAACTGTACCTGCCCTCCAAGTCTCTGTCTCTTTTTTTCTCTCTGCTGCATTTTTTCCGTAGCACATATCTAACATCTTACAGATCTTAATTATTGATTTCTTTGTTACACAACTCTCCTTTCTTCAAAGAATGTAAACTTTATTGTGGTAGGGATTTTTATCTATTTTGTTTACTGCTAACTTTTATTTTTAGTACTGAGAAACAGTGTCTGGCCTATATAGGCATGAACATTTGTTGAATGAGTAAATTATATATGTATGTAGGATGTCTGTAATTTGAAAACCAGAAAGGTGGCTCCTGCAAGGAAATATTTTATCCCAACCAGTTCAAAGAAATGGAAGTAAATTTTATTTCCTGTGCTGAGTAACCCCAATATTTTCCTTTGTTAGAGATGTACAGTCTTACTACGTCTTTGTGAGCTCATGGATGATGAAAATGGAATCTATTTTATCTAAAGAGCAGAGAATGGATAAATTTGCTGAAGACCTCACCAATAGATGTAATGTTTTTATACAGGTAGTTGCATCTTCTTACTTAGAATATTTTGGGGGTCATTTCTTTGTTAATTCAATGTATAGAACTTACACTTTGAAAAAACTGGAAGGGGTAGGATATGTTTTTGTTTTTAAAAACTGAAATTGATTTGATTATGTTTAGATCTGTGTGACTAATTTAGATTTTCTAATACATGCATTTAAATCTCTGTATTCTCTTCAAAGCATGACTTTTTTTGCTGTATCCCATAAGTTTTGATATGTTGCATTTCCGTTATTTAGTTCAAAATATATAAGAAATTTTATTGTGATTTCTTTTTTGATCTGTGGGTTATTTTGAAGATATGTTTTAATTTGTAAAGATAAGAGGATTTCCTAGTTATCTTTTATTATTGATTTCTAGAAGTACTAAAATAATTTTGCTATTTTTAAATTTGTTGAGATTTGCATTATGGCCCAGCCTATGGTCAGCTTTGGTAAACATTTCATGTACACTTGAAAAGAATATGTAACTTGCATTTATTGGTTGTAGTGTTCTGTATATGTCAAGTAGGTTATGTTTGTTAATGATTTTGTTTACATATTGTGTCAGTTACTGACAGAATTGGGTTAGAATCTCCCACTAGCATGGTGGATTTGTCTGTTTACCCTTTGTTTTTGTTTTATATGTTTTAAAACCAAGTGAGTGCATAACATTTAAGAATTATTATTTATTCCTGATGAATTGGACCTGTTGTTATGAAATATCTCTTTTATTTCTAATAATGCTCTGTCTTAAGTCTTGTGTGTATAATAGTAATATAGCTATACCAGTTCTCTTTTAGTTAAGGTCTACATAGTATGTCTTTTTTCATCATTTGACTTGCAACCTGTTTGACTCCTTATATTTAATGTGTGTCTCCTGTGTGTAAGCAGTGTGTAAGCAACATAAATTTTTCCTCAGTCTAGTTGTCTTTTTTTATTTTCTCTATGTCATTGCTGATGTATTTGGATTTAAAACTAGCACCTGACTAGTTGCTTTCTATTTATCTCACTTGTTCTGTGTCCCTTTTACTTTCCTTTCTTGCTCTCTTTTGAATTAATTCATCATTTTATTTCTCCTTTATTGTTAATTCTGTATCCTTTTACTGGGTTTTTTTAGTGGTTACTCTAGAGATTTTAAGTGCATCATTTAACCTTCAACTCCAAAATAAATGAGTAGTTTTATCTCTTTCTGGACAGTGTGAGGATCTTAAACCACCGTAATTCTCTTTATCTACCATCTCACTTCTGAGTTGTTGTTTATTTTGATTCATTTTATATATTAAACTTCTCGAGGCATTATTATTGCTGCTGTTGTCTTTATAGTCCTGGTCCATTTAGATTTATCCATATATTTACCTGTTCTGTTGCTTTCTGTTCTTCTGCGTCTCTTCATTCTTTGTGTATATGTGTATATATATATATATACACACACACATATGTATACGTATATGTATATATGTGTATGTATATATATATGTATATGTGTATATATATGTACGTGTGTATATATATATATATATATGTATTTGTATATATATATATTTTATCGTTTATTTATTTTTGAGAGTGAGACAGAGAAGTAGAGCATGAGCTGGGATGGGGCAGAGAGGAGGGAGACATAGAATTCTAAGCAGGCTCCAGGCTCCAAGCTGTCAGCACAGAGCCCAACACAGGGCTTGAACTCACGGATTGTGAGATCATGACCTGAGCCAAAGTCGGACGCTTAACCGACTGAGCCACCCAGGTGCCCCTCTTCATTCTTCTGTTTGTGGAATAGCTGTTAGTATTTCATTTAAAATGTCCTTCTGTTGATAAATTATCACTATTTTTTTTGTCTGAATATGTCTTTATTTCAATTTCATTTTTGTTTTTTAACATTTATTTATTTTTGGGAGAGAGGGTGGGTGCAGGGGAGAGGCAAAGAGAGGGAGACAGGATCTGAAGCAGTCTCTGCACTGTGAGCACAGAGAGCGATGTGGTGCGTGAACTCACAAACTGAAATCATGATCTGAGCCGAAATCCAGAGTTGGCTGCTTAACTGACTGAGCCACCCAGGCACCCCTCAACTTTGTTTTCAAAAGCATTTTTGCTATGTAGAGAATTCTGGGTTAGCAGGATCCCTCACCTCCCTCCCCCAGTTATTGTCTTCTGGCTTTTATTTTTGTTGAGAAGTTAGCTGTCAGTTTTCTTGGTTTCTGAATGTGAGTCTTTAATTGCTTGTAAGATCTACTTTTTGGTTTTTAGCAATATTGCTTTAATGTACCTAGGTGTAGTTTTCTTTGTGTCAGTGCTGCTTGGGATTTGTAGAGCTTCTGGAATTTGTGGAAAATTCTCAGCCACTAACTCTTCAAGTACTATTTCTGTTTTATTCTCTCTCTCTCTTCTTTTCTCTTTACCTGTGTCTAATTTGTTAAGCCAATCTACTGAACTCTTAATTTTACTTATTTTACTTTTTAGCTTTTTTTATAGTTTCCATTTCTTTTTCTGAAAAAATTTTGTTTCTTTTCCTTCAACGTAGCAGAATTATTTTTAAGCCTATGTCTAGTAATTTCATTATCTGGATGTTTCTGTTATCTCTGTTTCTCTTGTTTTTGGATATGTCTTATTATCTCTTTGCCTGGTTATTTTTAATAATGTGCACATTGTATATGAAAAACGGTGGATATAATTTGAAGATGTGGATATTGTTTTTCTTTTTCCAGAGAGGACTTAATAATTTTTACTTTTGATAAACAGCTAGTCTGGGACAACTAACAACCTAGATCACCTCAACCTAGTCATGGATTGAGATGATTTGAAATGGGACCTAAATCCTATGATGGCTATTTTTTTGAGTTCACCCTTACTTTTTAGGGGGTAGTTTTTCAGGATCCCAATCCAGAACCTAGGTTTATAGGACCTCCTTTCCTCTTTGATGGGCCACGAACTCCTGTTTTTATTCCCCTCTCCTTTCTGGGAGATGCTGAAAGGTAACATTTGGCTTCTGTCTCTATTCTCTTTTGGAACTGGCAGATGCTTCTTAAGGGAAAGCAGCCTCAAATGCCAGGCTCACTTCTCTGGGTTTCTTTCTTCTCCCAGATTTTGGCTTTATATTTCCTTATCTTCTTAATAGCTCTTTGATGCCTCCTGAGAGATTAAAAAAATGTTTTGCCCAGATTTGCTTGTTCTTTGTACAAAGGTTAGTCCAGATTATTTATTCTTCCATTAACAAAAACAGACCCTAAACCTCTCCTCTCCCCATTTAGATTTTTAAAATACGTCCTTTATATATATGTTTCACAAGTTAATGACCATATGGGGACCCATGAATTCTTTCTCCCCTGTTCCCACTCAAAAAAGAAACTCCCCCTTTTATGCCTGGCTTAGAGTTATACTTTTGCTGTTCTTTGTTTCTGCTTTTAAACTTTTCATGGTGCTGCACTAGGGCAGAATATGGTGTGATAGTTCTGTAGCTGACAGGTTAAGACTTCTAGCTCTTTCCTGTGTGTATTCCCCAAGCTTTGTCACCTTTATTAGGATGCTGCCTTCTCTCTCATTTCTTATTCTATTAACTTTGCACATCTCTTTATCACAGAGATATAATTGGTTCAGAGAAAATCCCCTCTCCCACCCACACTAAGTATCACTTCTTTACTGAGCCACTGTTACACTGATGGGAGAGTACTTTATCTCTCACATATGATAGAGGACTAGAAAAAAAGTTGAGAATCACTAGCATATGGCTTCTGCCCCAGTTCCTTGAATATATCCATAATAGTATAATTTAGATTCATCCTGAAACTGTACATGTATCTTTTTTTGTCCTTTTGTAAACCCAAAGAATCTTTGTTATGATGTTTCTATGTGGTTTTTTTGGATCTAAATGAAAATATATAAGGTAATATCCTTTTCCTGTTTTCTTATTCCATCCCATTTCCCTGGGTTTACTAGCACTAAAAATCTTTTTTAAACCTCGCAAGACCTTTGTTCTTCCTTCGTGAATAGAAGAGTAGGAGAGAATATGTTCTTATTGGGCTGGAAGGAGAGAAGGTCTGATTAGGACCAACATAGGCAGGGAACATGGTAGCAGATTAACAGTGGGGATTGGTCCAGGTGAAAGGGAAAGGGGGAACTGGCTTGGAACTGAGAAATACCTTTCAGTATCTGTATTGGCCAGACAGCAGCTCTCATACTCCTTGTTTTTCGGTTTCTGGTTCCTTAGGGTCCTTAGCATTTGTCTGTAGCAGATAGGAGTCTTTAAACTCTTGTCTGGCAGGTAAGATAAGAATGAGTAGATAGCTTCTGGACATTCAGATCATTTCTCTGAAGGGTTTGTTTGTTTTTTTAATGGGAAGATTCTTTAACTGTGATTTTATACTTTAATTTCAGCAGTACTAAACTTATGGTATGTAATAGGTTAAATACACCTTAAAGGGTTGCTTTGACGCTTCACCATTGTGTAACATTGTGTGAGGAAGAATATTTCAAAATCTTTTTTTTTTTTTTTTTTTTTTATTTTTGGGACAGAGAGAGACAGAGCATGAACGAGAGGGCGAGAGGGAGAACACAGAGATAGGAAGCAGGCTCCAGGCTCCTGAGCCATCAGCCAAACTGACCCAATTTCGAACTCCGGACCTTGAATCATTGTCTTTGAAGTCGGGCAGCTTAACCTTTCGCTGGAAGCCCCATCAAAATCTTAAGAGCAGACTTTAAAATAGTTATTGGCAAGTTGGGGAATAATTGTTACATAGAGAATGAAATGTTGAAGAAATGAAACTTTTCCTTGTGATTATAATCATTGTTTTATTTTTTTATAGGGCTTCTTATATGCATACAGTATTAGTACCATTATTAAAACCACAATGAATCTCTACATGTCAATGCAAAAGCCAATGACCAAAACCTCAGTTAAGGCATTATGCAGGCTTGTTGAACTTCTCAAGGTAGGTTTAAGATTATTTTACCTTGCCATTATAATTGAGAATTAACCTGTGCTTAAATTACGGTGATCTTGTAATATTTGACTTCTTGATTATCAGAATAAATAATTGTGGGAAAGTGTACTTATCTCTCACGTGGCTAAGGAAACTAGCCATTGAAAGTAATTTCTGAATAACTTTATGAATGGCCAATATATTTAAACTTTATTAAAATTAGCATGTATTGAGAGAAGAAGGGAATGAGAAGGTTAACTTAAGTATTAGTAAAGTTTTACTTAAGCATGTTGCCTGAATTATAAAAGAATATGACGTGGTACAAAAATTGGTGCATAGATCAGTGGAACAAATAGGGACCCCAGAAATAAACCCACAAATATATGGTTAGTTTTGACGAAGGAGGCAAGAATATATAGTGGGGAACATACTCTAATAAATGATGCCAGGAAAACTGGACAGCTGCGTATAAAGAATGAAACTGGACCACTTTCTAATGCTATACACAAAAACAAAATCAAAATGGGTTAAAGACCTAAGTGTGAGACCTGAAACCATAAAAATTCTGAAGAGAGCACAGACAAGTAATTTCTCTGACATCAGCCATAACAATATTTCGTAGATATGTCCTCTAAGGCAAGGGAAACAAAAGCAAAAATGAACTATTGGGACTACATCATACATCAAAATAAAAAGCTTTTGCACAACAAAGGAAACCATCAACAAAACAAAAAGACAACTGATTGGGTGAAGATATTTGCTAATCATATATCCAATAAGGGGTTAATAGCCACAATATATATAAAGAACTTATACAACTCAACACCAAAAACATAATCCAATTAAAACATGGGCAGAGAACCTGAATAGACATTTCTCCAAAGAAGACATACAGATGGCCAGTAGGCACTTGAAAAGATCCTCAGCATCACTCATGGTCAGGAAACTGCAAATCAAAACCGCGATGAGATACCCACCAGTTAGAATGGCTGATATCAAAATGACTAGACGTAACAAGTGTCGGTGAGGATGTGAAGAGAAAGGAACCCTCATGCACTGTTGGTGGGAATGTAAATTGGTACAGCCACTGTGGAAGACAGTATGGAGGTTCCTCAAAAAGTTAAAAATAGAAATACCATATGATCCAGTAAAAAGAAAGTGAAAAAACTAATTTGAAAAGAACATGCCTCCTGTGTTTATTGCAGCATTATTTATAATAGCCAATGTGTGGAAACAACCTAAATGTCCATCAATAGACAAATGGTTAAAGAGGATGTGGTATACATGTAATGGAATATTATACAGCCATAAAAAGGATGAGATTGTGCCATTGGAGACAGTATGAATGGACCTAGAGGGTATTAATGTAAAATAAGTCAAACAGATAACTACCATATAATTCTACTCATAAGTGGAATTTTAAAAAAATAAACAGAAAGCAGAATCAGACCTATAAACAATACAGGGAACAAACTGATGATTGCCAGAGGAGGGGTTTGGGGGATTGGGTAAAATGGATGAAGGGGAGAGAGTGGTACAGGCTTCCAGTTATGGAATGAATAAGTCACAGGAATAAAGACACAGCATAAAGAATACAGTCTGATGCTGCAGTAGCAATGTAATGGGACAGTTGATAGCTACACCTGTAGTGAAGAGAGCATAATGTATCAATTTGTCAAATCACTAGTTGTACACCTGATACTAATGTAACATTGTGTATCAACTGTACTAAAAAAAAAAAGACATCCATTTTGTAGTGTTCAGATGCACATGAGGCTAGTCAACATGAGGCTGATTATTTTGCAGTTTAGGGAAAGTGCTGTAATCTTGTGATTTGAATACTTCTGGAAATACGATAATGTTTTTAGCATACTCTAAGTAAAAACAATAAAAACCCTTTGTAGGCAGCAGAGCCCACTTAACCTTTTATAAAAATTGAAATTAAAATTTTCTAGTAAATTTCTGCTAATGCCTTTAGATTTGCTTAGGAAATAAAATCTTTTGGAAATTTTCAGCCTTTTTTAACGATATTATATTTTTTAATGAACTGTAAATACAGAAATGTGTGTATATGCATATATTTCATAAACATAATTTTAAGAAATAATAGACAAAAACCCACCATCCCATTTAAGATATATTGGTATTTTCAGAAGCCCCCTGTGTTGTGCTCTGTGATTACATCTTACCCTGCTCAGAGAAACCAGTCCTGCATTTTATGCTTCTCATTCCGTTGGTTTTCTTTTTAGTTTACCATACGTAGATGAATCTATAAACCATTCATCATTTAGTCATACATGCTCTTGAAGTTTATATTAATGAAGTAATACTTTATGTACTTCTTTAGTTTTTTAAACTCAGAATTTTTTTTTTAATACTAGAATTAATATTGGAATTTATCAAGGTGGTTTTTAGTTTTTTTTTTTTTTTTGTTTATTTATTTTTGAGACAGAGACAGAGCATGAATGGGGGAGGGTCAGAGAGAGAGGGAGACATAGAGTCTGAAGCAGGCTCCAGGCCCTGAGCTGCCAGCACAGAGCCCAACGTGGGGCTTGAGCTCACAGACTGTGAGATCATGACCTGATCCGAAGTCGGAGGCTCAACTGACTGAGCCACCCAGGTGCCCCCAGAATTTTGTATTTGAACTTTTCCATGCTGGGATGAGTAGCTATGGTTCCTTCATTTTCATTGCTGTGTAGCTTTCCTGTAGATGGACTTTGGGTGATTTCCAGTTGTTGCTACTATATACAGTGTTACTGTTCTTATGTCTGTTTCTTGGTGTAGTTGTGCCAGAGGTTTGCTGAGTTTTGTATCTACCAGTGGATTGCTGGGTTGTGTGTTACTTACATGTTCAGCTTTTCAAGATGATGCCAGAATTTTTTTTTTTTTAATGTTTATTCTTGAGAGAGAGAGACAGAGTGTGAGTGGGGAGGGTCAGAGGGAGACACACACATAGAATGCGAAGCAGGTTCCAGGCTCTGAGCTGTCAGCACAGAGCCTGATGCAAGGCTCAAACCCACAAACC